CCCGCTTTTCTGAAAATGATTTTCCATGGAGGTATAGTTGCTTCTTCTCTTGCATGCTTATAGTTGTAAGAAACATTTATTTGTGTTGATTATGATATTTTATTATTTAATTAATTGAGATGATATAATTAGAATTCTATTAAAATAACAATTTCATGCAATTAAAATTTTATTATAATAGTAATTTTCTTATCTGTAGGTTAATAATTGTATAAATACTTTAAGTGTAATAACATAAAGAGTGTGAAAAAATAAAATTAATATTTTTTCTCCAAAATTAATATGATATCAGATCTAAAATAAGGTTATTTTAGGATTAAATCAATATGATATCAGAGACAAAATAAGGTTATTTTAGGGTTTTAATTTTATGATTTTTTTTCAAACTTTAAAATAGCAAAATAGGCTAATGGGATATTCACCTACCAAGATCTAAACTCACCAACACCTTATACGGAGTCGCAGCCTCACTGCTGGCCTGCCTTCTTACTCCGGTGACCATTTTTCCAAGCGTGTAAGACACACACGCTCCCAGAAAACGGCATTTTCCCAGCACGTGTGCCACACACGCCAGTTAACCGAGTCAAAACCTCATCCGACGCATTGCACCACTGCCAGACACCCAGATCTGGCATGTTTCAGTGTGTTGCACATGTCCCCAGCTCGCATTATGCCTGGTTCGTCTTCTCCAGCCAGATCCAGTCAGATCCAGCATTCTTCCGCTTACAGAACCAGTTGCGCTCCCTGCCGCAGCACCACGCACCAACAGATTCAGTTGCACTGAATGGATCTTCTTCTCCCGCCACGATCCACTTTCCTTTGCGCAGATCTGGATGCAAAATGCCGATCTTCTGTTTTCTGATTGCTCGCAGGCCAGCCCCTTCTGGTTTCCCCCCACGTGACCCGCTCTGACTGGCCTTCTCTGGTCCTTTTTCCGGCTCCTCCACGTGCATCCGCCTCTGGTTTCGCGATCCGACACAGATCTGCTTCCTTCGTGAGCGAGCCACTCTGACCAACCTTCTCTTGTCCCTTTTCTAGCCTTTCTATGCGCATCCACCTCTGGTTTTGCGATACCGGCTCTTATCTGGCTTCTCCGTGCACGAGCTGCTTCGACCGGCATTTTCTGGTCCTTTTTCCGGCTCTCCTGCGTGTGTCGCCTCTGATTTTGCAATATTAGCACTAATCTGGTTCTTCCGCGTGCGAGCCACTCTAACTGGCCTTCTCTTATCATTTTTTCGCCTCCTCTCAGCGCGGCCTTATGTTTATATCATATGTATTTTGGTGATCAAATAGCATATATCTTCATTAAAGGAGTTTATAACAAATCTCTTCAAAATTTGATGTGCAAGTTGGATATGTGTGATACCTTTACACCAACTTGAGGAGAGGTGTTTATTATGACATTCTATTATTTAATTAGTTGAGATGATATAATTAGAATTCTGGTAAAATAGTAATTTTCTTATTTGTAGATTAAGAATTTTATAAATATCTCAAATGTAAAAACATAAAGGATGTGAAAAAATAAACCTAATATTTTTGCTTGAAAATCAACAATTTGTCTGTCTGCTAAATCATTTGCACTTGTGCAAGCTCAAGCTGGAAGAAAATAAGAAACAGTTTTACTCTAGGTGGATAAAGCTTTATGTAGGGAGGCATATTATTTTCTTTTATCTTATTAACTCGTTATCTTTTGTGCTAAATATTATAATTAGACAGAATTAAGAGGAATATCCATGTTTTGATTAGTTATATTTCAGTATTGAACTGTTTTCTGATCAATTCGGATGTGCTTTAATAGAGGTTGAGACCACTTTCTTTGATCTTGAATACTTTTTTTGGCCGAAATGAAAAGTGTAATGTATGTATTACTTACAAGCACCAAGGGGGTACTAAACCCATTTACAAAAGAATTTACTATTCAGTTAAACATATCAATTAGATCCCTGGAATTCTCAATGTAAATGTTGTGTTATTATCAATACACCAAGGGATTAGAATCAGCTCTCTGTAATTCTGTCAATGTCCTTTTCCACTCTTTCAAAAATTCTTCTATTCATCTCTTTTCTAACAACCCAAAAAATAACCGAAAGGAGACCTGAAACCTTCTTCCAACCTGCAATATGCTTCTATGCCCAAATTTCATACTTGGCCATGTCTGCCAACACCCAGTTATACCCCAGGATCCCAAAGGTTATATAGGCCATAAGCTACATGCTACAAGACACTAAAGAAGAATGTGATTGCAGGTTTTTGCCGCGTTTTTGCAGGGACAACACCAGTTCACCAAAGTCGTCCCACATCTCATAAGTTTGTCCATAGTCAAAATGTTTCTAAGAGCAGCTTCCCGAGCGAAAAGGGTAATTATTGGCGATGCATTTAGTCTCTTTATCTGTCTAAACGAAAAAATTTCTTCATCAATCACCTCTCTCTTGGTTAGATGTTTGTAGATTGACCCCACATTGAATTGATTCTAGGGCTTAGAGTCCACAAAAGTTTATCTTGATCCTCATTGAGTGAAATTGAAGATAAAACATTTAGCAATTATTCATATTCTTCAATCTCTCATTCATTGAGATTGCGCATCACTTCCACATGTCATTCCCTCCTCCCCTCTCCCTCATTGAACACCTCCCAAATAGATCTGTCTTTGTCACGTGCTATAGCAAAAATCTGTGGAAACCTCACTCTCAACGTTTCATCATCAATCCAAATGTCGGATCAGAAGCATATACTTTCTCCGTAACCCACTCTCTGTTTAATATACTCTTGAAATTTCTCTCTCCTAGTGCAAATCCTCTTTCACAACCCTGTCCTATACAGTGCAGTCGATACCCTAGGATATCTCCCTCTATCCATAGTACCGAATTTCTCCTTAATAATTCTCCTCCATAAAATGCCCCCTGCCTCCAAAGACCGCCACAATCATTTCCATCAGAGAGTTTGGTTCATCTCATAGATTGATCTCACTCCTACCCTCCCTGATTCAGCTGTCTTTCAACTCTGTACCATGCCACCAAATAATTTCTCATCTTCTTCTGTGAATCACCCAATAGAAATCTGCTCTGTATTGGTTCTAGTTTTTTTGCTACACTCTTTGGAATTGATAAGAGGAACATGTAATAAATAGGAAGGTAGGTTAATGTACTTTTGATAAGAGTTAACCACCTGCTTTTAGAAAATAAGTTTCTCTTCCACTCTGCAAGTCTTTTCTCAAATCTGGCAACAATAGGCTCCCAAGTCCTCACATCTTTATATTTAGCACCCAATGGCATACCCAGGCACTTCATTGGAAGATATACCATTTTACATCCCATACTACTTGCTAGTCCACTAAATTATGCCCACTTACCTAATCTGATCATCTCGGGTTTCGCTCTTTTTATATTAAGTTCAGACACAACTTAAAAACATAAAAAGACACATCTAAGGTTTAACAATTTCCTCTCATCCGGTTGATAGAAAATTAAAGTATCATCTGCAAAGAATAAGTGTGTAATCTCCTCTTCTCATTCTCCTTCGCCCACCTTGCACCCGGTAACCATACCCACCTCCCTAGGTCTCATTGGCAACTTGTTAAGAGTTTTCATGACAATTATAAATAACAAAGGCGAGAGTGGATCCCCTTGTCTGATGTGTCTCGATGCTTTGAAAAATTCCTGAATCAGGGATAAACCATTAACTTCTGAACTCTAATAATCAGTTAAATAGTTGATAAACTTAGAGTTTTAAGTAAAGGTTTGATAAATGAGAGAAAAAGACAGTTACTGCCTTTTAACTAAAAAAAATATAGTTTATTACGGGCATTTCATTATAAAATATTGGTCAAAGAAGTTTTAGTTTTTCATATAAGGACAGAAATGAAAGGCATGCTTGCACAGCTTTTATTTTTTCGCTAAAAGCAGAAATCTAGCTATGTGCTTTTTAGTCCTTTGGAAAGACCCAAAAACGAAAAAACTAATCTAGGCAGCTTTTACTTTTTAACTAAAAACCAGCCATGTGGCTTTTAATCTTTTTTAGGTACATGCAAACATCTTGGAGATTTTCTTTTTCCAAAATCAGCTTGAAGCCCCTTTAACAAAAAATAAACAAAAAAGCCAGCCAGAAGCCCTCTATTTCTGATATTTATTCATACATCTATAGCTAATGATGCTACTCATACAACACAGGTATTCTAAAGAAGAGGGGATTTCTCTGGAAGAGTTTAGTCAAAGGAATTTCACCTACCTTATCAAGTGAGTTCTATATTTCTCATTACTTCAATTTATCTTTCGGGTTCACCTCGGCCATGATCTTGTCAGCTAGCAAACTCTTTCTAGCTTACAAATGAATCTAGATTCATAGGAAGGTTGTGAGAACTGACTGAAGATAACCAAAGGAATTTAACTTGTGCTAACAGAACTGTATCTCATTCTAACTCATAATGTTTTCTGTAACAGTGAGCACCCCGTTATTGATGGATACAAGTGCTTGTTTACAACTCATGGGTTCTCAAGGGTCCAACTCCAATTGGGGTTTCCGCTGTTTTTACTGGTATAAAATGACTGCAATCCCATATTACCTGCTGCTGTATTATATCACTACAACTAAAATTTCTCCTCCTGGATGCTCTCTGCAGGTTAAGGAGCCCAAGGTGTATGTTCATGGGAATATGAAAAGGGATGATGTTTTGCATAAAAATTGGACGGGATGCAGTTGAATTTATGAATAGTTTGGAGTTGATTCTCATTCTAGGGTTTGAAGTGTCGCATTTGATTCAACCTGGAATGTCTGTGGCAGGTGTAGTTTGTGTGTGGTACTATAATATGTTTGGGACATAATAGGTCAAAAAGTCAAATATATTAGATTAATCACAAGGATCTTATCCAGTAAAAGTTTTGAAGAAAATGTAACTTATCAATATATATATATATATATATATATATATATTTAACTGATGTTTCTGACACTAGAGAAATTAGGCAAATGATGAAATGGGTTTGAATTACATATATATATTTGTTGATTGCTCGGAGATATCTGTTGAATGTTTTCTTTTTCTTGCAGCTTGTTTCCACCCATAATTTCAAACATTGTTATCTCAAATGTTTTATGTTTGATGGATAAATGGTAGGGGAGACAATGCGATTTCTAAAACTTAAAAAAGTTATATATTTGAGTCCAGTTATAATTGATCAACAGCTATTTGGACTTGGACCAAAGTCTGTGATTTTTTGAAGTAGTTATTTATAGTTGAAGACAGGTTTGATGTGGAATTAAAATGTCATAATCCACACTCATCACAAATATAATTAAATATTCATAAGCTCAAAGATTGTACCACCACGGAGTCCCAAGGCTCACACATTTTGATGTGGTTTAATTATTATTCTCCTAATAATTTTGGATACAAATCACTAGTTTTCAAAAAGTTTAGGGTTAAAGTAGTGTGACTTGGACTCCTATGTAAACTTTAAGTATACTTTAAGATGATTATAAAAATGCTCACTAATATCTCTTTTTAAAATTTGGGCTTTGACCTTTAAATTGTTATGATTAGGTAATTAAAAAAATTTAATTCTTCAATTAACTTATATATATATATATATATATATGTATTTGTAATAAATAAATTTTAAAATATTATCAAAAATTAACGACGTTGGTTTCCCAATTGTATTATTGAAGAGGCTAAGGGGTATGTTTGCTGTATAAGCCTCTTTTTCTATTTTTAAAGAAAAACACACAGAATGAAGAATCTAGCAGGAGGCTGTCTATTAGAAAATATAAAAGTTGGCCCAAGAGGATATAAGCCCTATATATATATATTCTTAGACTGCTCGCTAACCCAAGTATACCATCGTGGCAATCTTCTCTCAAGCTCATTCTTCCAATTATCTTTGAACTTTTTATTCAATAACAGGAAAGGAAGCTCGGGCTCTCCGGTAAAAAACCAGTACAGAGGAAAATGCTTATTAAGCCTTGCTCTCTGCACAACCACAATGTTTCTCTCTCTTCAGAGCTTTCTTACTCTCGTCCCTTTCCTTGCCAACTTCCCCCTCCTCGCCGAACCCTAAATCATCCGAAAGTCTCAGTCAGTTGCTCAATATCGCAAGTCCACAGTTATGGAACTGTTGATTACGAAAGAAGACCCATGATCAAATGGAACGCTATCTACAAGAAGATATCTCTCATCAGGAACCCTGAGCTGGGTTCTGCGTCTGTGTTGAATCAATGGGAAAAAGATGGAAGGAAGCTTACAAAATGGGAGCTTTGCAGGGTGGTCAAGGAGTTGAGGAAGTACAAACGCTACAAGCAATCTCTTGAGGTACTAAAAAGCTTTTCTTTACCTTTTGTTTTCGTATCTTTTGAACTGGGTTTTCCCTATTCACACTTCCTGCCGCAGTTGTTTGATATTGTTTGTTGTTCCGCAAATATAGTGCAAAATAGACGAAATAGAGCACGAAATATTGTAGTTTGCTTGCTATATTTGGCTGCACAAAGGGCAGCGCTAATAAAGCTACAAGTTTCATCAGAAATAGTTTTAGTTTTTTCAGGTATAGCATGAAGTTTTGGGGCGTTGTGTGTCTTCTATAAATAGCATTAGACAGAGGAGTTAAACGAAATATGTGATGGATAGTTACTCTTCATCAAAAATGTATAATGGTTACTCGGGGAATTACATGTCTCCTATAGAAAGCCAAACTGCCATAATCTGGGAGTTGTTTGATATGCCATAACTCTTTGACATTATTCTTCTATTTTAAAATATTTGCACATGATGCAGTACTAACTTGATCATTGGAGCAAACTTCTAGAAAACACTTGGGGTCACTTATTTACTACTGATTTCACATCAAAAAAAGGAACGACCAGGGTGGACAAAGGCTTGACAACGAACTGACTATCTGTTAGTCCTCACGTATTGTATTAGTCTTCACCTACTACCACTTAAACTTCTCCCAAGATTTCCATCGTCATTTTGGCATCATCTGTGAGAAAAGTCATGCCAAGAGGAAAGAAAAACATTTGAATTACAAATTTACTCTCTGGTGTAGGTGCTAGTAGAAGGGATGACCACCCAACCAACAAAAGGGAATAGTTCCCCTCGAAGTGTATAAAGCATTAGCGAGGAAGTTTCACGAGAGAGACTAAAAGATGGAGGCTATGTAATGCCATTTTTAAAGAGATGTGAAGCAAGTGCAACCTCTCACTGAAGAACATCTAGTAGAATTAAAAAGAGAGATAAAGTAACTTGAATGTTTGAGGGAATAGAGACTTTGACGCGGAGCCACATAGCCCGTGAGCAAAACAACTCTTAGAAAGACTTGAGGAAGTAATCCTCAAGGGAATATCAAAGAGGCTCCTAGAAGTAATGTCTGGAACTGCTGCAGAGAAGGAAGGGAGGATCATACCTTCAAGGCCTCGAGGAGACAGAGAGTTGCAACAAATGGGGGAACCAAATTAAAAGGAAGTCTGAGTGATAGATAATAACCAAATTTATAAGCACATTAGATAAGCTTGAAAAAGCTGAATCCTCAGCAAGGAGGATTCATATGACTTAGTCCCTCTTCATCTATGACATATTTGAATATACCTCAAAATTCAAACTTTCTCAACTTGATCAGTATGATGGTATTGAGATCTCATCTGTCACCTCTATCATTACCTTAGGATAATGTAGTTTCGTGGGACTACTTATGCAATGCTCTGTCAAGGATTCATTTTAATAATTGCAATTGGTTCCAGTCCCCTAAACCAAGAAGCATTTACTGTTTTAAGGAGTCCATTGGCCAATTCCTTTTGAGGTCTATTGACAACCAGAAGTAGAACAAACCTTGTCCTACTCTGCTAAGAGTGAAACAAGGGACAGAATTCTCTAATCGGTATATTTCTCATTTCATAGTGGAAATAACCACCATAAATAAAATGGACAAAGAAGTTGCTACTGTGGGCATAATCAACAAAGTGGTGGTAAAAAATTTGTCTGTTCTTTGTTTATGAATCCCCAAGAGATGCTTTTTTGGAATTTTTTGCCAAAATCCAAAACTATATGAATGTTAAGGACTTCATAATCTCAAGAGTAGATGGTAAGCTCTTACGAACGAGACTAATAAAAGATGAGTCAGCTAACCAAAGCCAAAAAAAATACATAGAAAGGAAAACCAAATAGATCCCTCAATTACGGACTAGGTCCAAGAGAACTAAAAGGCCAAATATATTATACTCCTCTTAAATCCTGACAAAAATATGAGATATATTTTCTCAAACAGCATCCATTGCAGAACATAAAGAACAATACACTTGAAAAGACGAGGTACTCTGCTTTTCTTGGAGATTCAGGCCATGGCAGTGATGAATGCATGGAACTCAAAGCTGAAATGGAGAACCTTATCAAAAGAGGGTACTATAGGAAATTTGTAGCAGAGAGGTCTTGTTCAAGACATACTGGAAGGGCAAGAATAACCGGCAAGACCCTGATGGCCAGATCCAAGAGTTACCATGCACATATCCAATGGCAAGGGTCATAGCACAATTTTTGCAAGAACATTTCAGGATAAAACTTTAAAATGGCTGCAGTAGCTAGTTCAAGGAAGAATCAAACAACTAAAGAACTCATGGAAGGGAGAAAGATAAAACTTTTGGAAGCTAACTTGAAGGGTTATGATAAGGGTTCCTGATATTGATGCACTGGTGGTGATAGCTTCGGTCTCTAATTTTGACGTAAGAAAAATACTTGTTGATACTAGTAGCTTGACTGACATAATTCTTACTCAAACTTTTGAACATATGAAGTTGGACAAAGATCTACTAAAACCATGAAGTTCCTTAGTTAGGCTTATGGTACTATAATTAATCTAGATGGGCTTGTTACGCTTCCAATAACAAAGAAAGTACAGCCATGGGACAAGACTATGATGGTTAATTAGTTAGTCATAAAGACGTTAAGTTCGATCAACTTGGTTAATTGATCATATTGTCCATGCGACAACTCAAGATAAAAGTCCTCGCTTCTAATGGAGTTGGGAAAGTGCGTGGAGGTTGAGCAACAGTGATCTATAGCTTCTTAATGCTCTATTCATTATTGTTCAAAATTGGTAGATGACTTTTAGTGACTCACACCCTAAATGGGGGTAATAAATGTACAGTGTCGCCAAGCAAAGGATAGCATGAATGTTGACCAAAAACAATAATAGCTACTTAACAAATCGTACCTCTAGAGGGCAACTTAAAGGCCTATTGAACCTTTTGTGAAGTGATGGAGTTACAAAAATTCCATTAGCGAACCCAAAGGTCATCGAGTTCTAGGAATGCACTAATGTGAGAAAGCTCAGAAGAAGAATCATGTGATTCTTGTAAAGAGCAACTTAAGAATTGTAGAGAACAGCTAAAATATGGAACCTTAAAGTTGGAAATGTGCTGCTTAATCAATCCGCAATACCAAATCTGTGTGATATCTTGATTGTCTTGTTCTCTGACCACCACTTAGACTTGGGAAGCATAAATAAATAAAAAGGTTAAAGATGCAAAAAGTGTAAGCATTAACATACTATACATGGTGGAGAATGACCAAAGTAACAATTCTAATTGAATCAGGGAAGCATTGAAATCTTAACAATCATAGAAATTTGGTGAATCTTGGTTAGCTACCGATGCATGATTAGCAAACTCTACTTCCTTAGTTAACTCAGTATCTAACCAAAGGAGCAATAGGCAACTAGAGTAGGTCAATTTTGCACAATAAATGAACGATCATTGGACCTTGAGTTGTTGTCCAGCCTAGAATAGTAGAAACTATATAAGGCCTACTAAAGGTTCCACAACTATCAGGAAAGAGTAATTCCCCACCACGGATAATGAGTGAAGGAAGGAATCATCCACACCAACTATTACAACTTCCATCAGAGGGAGGAGTTGTTTGCCAACCAGACAATTACTCTTCATCAAGAAAGTGCAACAGGTACTCCAATAATTTACTTCTCTTCTATAAAAATCCAGACTACTATAGTTTGGGGGTTCTTTGACTTGCTATCACTGTTTGATATTATTCTTCTATATTATAATATTCAAACAGTCTTCTATATTATAATACTTTTTTGAGGAATTCGTAGGGTCACTTGTTTACCATTGATTTTAAGTAAATAAAGGGCTGATGAAAGTGAAGAAAGGCTTGACCACGAGTTATCTATTCATCAGATCTTGCTTACCATCAATGAGTCTTCATCTACCAACTATCATTCCCTATTCATCATCTATCTGTCTCCATCTATTGATCGTTAGTCAG